GGCTAATACACCTGTAAAGAGAAATATAATGTGACTAAAGTTAGGGGTTTGGCTAATACACCTGTAAAGAGAAATATAATGTGACTAAAGTTAGGGGGGTTGGCTAATACACCTGTAAAGACAAATATAACTTTAACTGATCAAATAGTGGAGTACTCGAAATACTGTTTAACTGATCAAATAGAGGAGCACTCGAAATACTGTTTAACTGATCAGATAGTGGAGCACTCGAAATACTGTTTAACTGATCAAATAGTGGAGCACTCGAAATACTGTTTAACTGATCAGATAGTGGAGCACTCGAAATACTCTTTAACTGATCAGATAGTGGAGCACTCGAAATACTCTTTAATTGAACAAATATTGGAGTTTGGCCGTCACTCTTATAGCGCCCATGGGCCTCAAGTGCAGAACGTGTTTCGTTGTTGTTATTGTTGCAACAGGCCATGAATTATGAGCCCTCGTGATACAAGTGATTCATGCAGCTAATCTCACACTCAAAAATGCAGGTGATGCTATTGGCCCTGAGTAATTATATTTAAACTCATTTATTGTTAGATCAACTTACCTTATCAGCGATTTGGCTGAGTTCCACAGCCACATCTCCTCCAGAGTTTCCAATACCCACAATCACAATTTTTTTGTCTCCTAATCCATCAGGCTTTTTGTAGTCGTGGGTGTGAAGGACTTTACCTTTAAAACTCTCCATCCCTGGGAAGGTGGGAATTTGTGGGTACACGTGGTGGCCACTACACACCATTATTCCATCAAAAAAGTCGTCAAAACTTTGGCCTTTGGCGATGTCCCGGATGGTTACTTTCCAGCATTCATTTTTCTCGGGATCTTGATTTTCAACAACTTTCAGAATTTCGTGACGAAAGCGGACATGTTGAACGAGGTCAAACTTTTCAGCGTACATTTCAATATACCTGATCATGTAGCTATGATGCATGTAGTTCGGGAATTCTTTTGGTGGTGGGTAGTCGCTGTACGCACTCATTTCTTTACTGCTGTTTATAATTGTGGACTTCATCACCGAGGCTAAGTCATCTGAAGTGTCATCTCGATATCGCCAAAGTCCACCAAGCTGGTCAGTTTTTTCAAAACAAATCGGTTGTAGCTTCTCTTCTAAACAGGCTTTGATGGAGGTCATTCCGCTGGACCCTCCACCAATTATACAGATTCGTTTAGTTTTTTTCATATTTTCGTGAAAGTTACTCGTGTAAAAACGAAACTCTACAGTAATGATCTGTTAAACCCGATATTTATAGCCTACATATAGGTGGAGCCTACATATGGTTTAACCAATGAAAGATGTATGAAGAAAGTGAGGTCTCTAAGTCATTTAACCAGTAGGAGTTGTCTAAAGTACTTCAAGTTACGTGTCAGATGGAACGTGGGTCACTTTCTTCTGTTTACAAAAACGGCTTACCCTAAATGCATGCAGAACCTTGACACATATTTCTGTCAGCCCGAGAGGCATAACTTGCACGAAAATCCCAAACAAACAATATTCAAAGATATACAAGGGCTATCTGCGCTACCCGTCCCTGTAGACTATAGAGGTAATACATCCAGTCAACAGAGCACACTGCAAACCTTTGGGCTACTCTATCGAACAGTGGGATTTCACCGTCATTCTTATAACGCACCTGCGCCCCCAAAGTGGGGTAACGGGACGCGAGCCACTAATCCAGTTGTTTCGGAGACAACATGCTGCTCGTCACGCGATTAGATTATAAGTTTTGTAACACTATTTAAATTGTTCGAAGTCTTTGTTTGCTTGACAATAAACTTCAAGTTTCTCATGTGTTAAAAATCTAAAAACATTTCTACTGTTGAATTATTTAATAGAAACTAGAACCTAGCTTCTTGATAAACCAACCTGGTTCGAGTTTAAATATGAACCAAGTAGTATTTATCTATTGCCAAAAGATCATCACTCAAAACATTGCGAAAAAGCTTGGTTTGTTTTTGAATTTCGCGCAAAGCTACACGAGGGCTATCTGCGCTAGCCGTCCCTAATTTTGCAGTGTAAGACTAGAGGGAAGGCAGCTAGTTATCACCACCCACCGCCAACTCTTGGGCTACTCTTTTACTAACGAATAGTGGGATTTACCGTTGCATTATAACGCCACCACGTCTGAAAGGGCGAGCATGTTTGGTGGGACGGGGATTCGAACTCGCGAAAAAGGTTTCTTAATTATATTTTAAATTGTTATTCTGTCATCTTAAGCATTCTTTTAAGCTCTGACAATAGTGTTAATATTTTTAAATTCCTATAATTCAGTTTTAATCATGTTTTAAGCTGTTGTAATCTTATCTTAATCGTTTTAGTTGATAATCTTATGTTTGAAAGCTTAGAACGCTAAAAATCGGGTTTCGATACACGTTGCGGGCACAGCACCGGCAGACAAATATGTAACTGCGCTTAACAACAAACAAATAAATCTTTAAACTGCGATAGTCTTAATAATCATAACCATATTTAACCTGTAGTAATCCCACCAAGATAATCTCTTAAATTAGTTTTCTGATATCGTTCAGTCTTCAAACAGTGATATATTTACTTCCCAAAATCTACGTCTATAAAAATATAGACACAACACAGAAGAAGTCTGTTGTCATTTGTGTGACCTTATTCTAGTTCTTTTACAACTAGGCTAGAATGTTTATAGAATATTACATCCTATCTTACAGTTGTTCATAAATTGTCAGAGTATATGATAAAAGTTAAAATTATCACTACTTTTCATTGAAAATTATTGATTTATTACCAATGTTAAATTCATCACGATTTTCAGATATTTGATTCTTGAAGGACAGATTTTCTCCTCACTTTGTAACTGTCATCAGGATTGGACTTGATCTCTCAAAGTTTAG